CGATAATCGATAACTAAGAACAGTTATCGACTAAGACTATCCAGCATCAGTACGTTTGCGATTATTTAAGACTCCGGGTTTTTTAACGATACTTACTCCTAATCGATTTTGCAACTTTTGCATTTTTGCATGTTTACTTTAAACGAAGTTTTCTGTTTTCGGATTTCACGGGTAGTGAGTAATTTTTGACTTTCACGGCTAGTTTGCGATTAATTTACGGCTAATCATGTTAATTTTTTCATGACAACTTCAATGGGGTTAATATGTAAGGTACGAGGGTGGATTGATAAGTTTCCGGCCTGACCAAGAAAAACAAGGTTTTTAAAAATTTTTTTTTTTTATTTCTCAACATAATCTCCTCCAAGGCTGATACATTTCTCATAGCGGTGTTCCATTCTATTTGTGNAACTATAGCTACAAGCTATCCAAGGATGGTACTATAGAATGTCACCTCAAGGTAGGCCTAGTGGCGTCATCTCTTGGTTAGGCCGGAAACTTATCAATCCACCCTCGTATATATACGAAATGATTTCCATGCAATTTTGCAGTTCAGTCAGTATTGATCGAATTGTTTAGCACAGACTACGTTGATGAGGCACACGGAATCTTTCAGGAATACGATAATGATAATACGTGCGTACTAATAGAGAATAATGAATGTTTCATATAAAGTAAGCTATGATGGTGCGGAATGTAATTTGTTTCGAGAACAGTCGAACATCAATGGCCGTCCTAATTTATGCTTACCGTTGCCATAAATACAAGCTAATTGAAAGTTAATTGGCTACCTTTTCCGATTTAATTGCAAATATTCAGTCGTAATCAAGCTCTAAATGCAAACCAATTTTTGTTTATGCCCTAGGTAGGTCTTTGATAAATAAAATAATATATTGGAACATTTTAATGTCAATGTTACCGGTTTATTACCGTTGATTGTAAATATACACAGGCAATTTGGTCATTTTGATATTGGTTGAAATTGAATGAAAAATATTTCGAAGAGTAAGAATAATATCAAACAAAGGAGTTTGTAACTAATAAGGCTCATTTATTTAAACAGAAAAACCGCAATATACACAGCTTGCATTCTCTTTTTGGTTAATTGATACCAATCAGGTTTATTATTTTGTTTAGTTTTCTTATTTGTATCAATTCTATTGTAAGTATTGACTCTTAGGCTCGTCGGATGCTGTTCTCGTACTTATGTGGTCGTGAAATATTTTGAATTCCATTTGTTAGACCAATCTTGTCCACTGTATTATTTATGACCTACCTACGACTGCTGAATTTCGGGCGAACCAAAGGTACCGTCAGTATCGATCGTTTGCGGCATTCGTTCACGACAAGATGTTTGTATTTACGAAATACACCTTTTATTAGGCTTTGTATCCATACAGTTATTTATCAATGACATCGGTTCATAATTAATTAATTATTATTTGCGTTTCTTCATAAATTAGAATTTTTCGTTAAAATTAAAAATAAAGAATTTGGTGTTCGGCGCATCCACCAAATATTTATTCAAATGGCTTAATTACCTAACTGTAAGAAAAAATTCTTTTTCAAAATCATTTAACGAAATAGTCGTACCCTATTTTATAATTGAAATAACAAGAATTATTATTGTAGATACATGTAATTCAATACAGAAATGGGTGGATTGAATAAAAACACTTTCCTTCTTTTTATTAACTGCAGATACAGTTTTTAATGGTTTCCCTTTTTGGTTTATTAGTTGTGTCGGATGATCCACTTCTAAATTATTAAAATGACAATTCCCTCGACCACAATGAAGACGATATTGGTTCTTAAAAAAGGACTAAATTCCATTGGGGTTTAATTAAAACCCTTTTAACGTAATAAACAATGACGGAGAATTGCTCTTCCATAAAACCCTCTTATTTGATAAAAAGGATTTAAATAGATCCTGGCTGTAAAGTAAAACTGTTTGCTTCCTTATTAAATGTCCTTCACTAACGTAAAATTGTCTTGCTTTAAAAGTTCCAGCTCAACTAAAAGTAGGTTTTTCGTTATTATGTAAGTTAAGTAAACATTTTTAAGGGTGGTTGTAACTAAACCAAAATCTTAAAATTGCGACAAGCGAATTTGCGTCGCACCAATAGTGATTATTATGAAAATTAAAAATTTAGTCCCGCATGAAGAAGATTTACACCCCGATATGGAAAAAATTAATCTATGCAGCATTTTTCTTTGGAAACCACTAACACAAATACACTTGCGACTGAAAATTAGTTTCAAGCAAAGCTTGGACTCGCTGCAAATGATAAGGATTCTTGTACTACTTTGGGGATTCTCTTCCGTGAAATCTAGGATTTTATTGTCCTTACAGCAGCGATATGGTTCAAACCCGTAAATACGTTTAATGTCACGTTATTGTAATAAACAACTGTTCTACAGTACTAATAATTGATGTTGCATTGGTTAATTAGTTCATTGAACTGCAGATTAGTTACCCCATGCATGGTTTAAACTTTAAAAGAATAAACGGTTTCTACAGTTTAGCTGAATCATACTCAATATAATCTAGCAAATAAATAATACATGAGCAAAAGAATACACTGATGCTGGTATGTTGAGTATTGAGTGCAGCGTTGCGGGCCGTATTTCTCTACCAAGGTCGGTATTGAATTTATCTGCACTTTCAACTACGTTTTCTTCGAAAAGATGAACTTTCGGACATACAAACATTTGCTTAATTTTCTCGTTTTATAGTTCTCTATCACCTCCTGCAAGTTCGGCACTACTTTCTGTTGCACCCTGTATAAAATGAAATACATTGCCACGTGTAGCTTCTGAAGCAGTCAGCGCATTAGACGCACTGACATTTCTCCCTTAGCTTATTTTCGAAAAGCTCTTTTAAAATATAGAAAATTTAATGGATGACAAAAGCGGGAAGCACTTAAACTAATGGGACATTGAATGACGTGGGACGATCTTGTAATGGAATTTTTATGGATTTTCATTGATTCTTTGTAGCGGCAAAAGTCTTTGGTAATTAAGGTTCTTCGCACTTTTTATTGTATCTTCTCTTTCTTTTAATTTTTTTTAATTGGTAAACTGTTAGGCTAAATAAAATTAAACGGAACTCATCAGTGGATCCGAGACTGACGCGCTAATTATTATGAGACGGCTTTTTAACGGCCCAATTTACAAAGGAAGTTTTGTGTATATCTTTTAATTAATTAACGATGACGTCTATTGCGGAGAGAAAAGTCGGAAGTAGCATGACGAGCAGGTCAAAGGATGGTTTTGTGATTTATTTCTTAACTTAACTTGAAAAGTTGTTTTTGTGTAGATATTGAGATCCTTAAAGGTTATTAGGGCTCTTTGTTAAGAGAAAACATTGTTCGAAAATTGTTGTAAATGATGTTCATTTTTAAAAAAGAGAGGAATATAAAAGGCTTTACAAAATAAAATATATTCTGACTCATTTTTTTTCAATCCGTAACATTTTATTTTTGCTTTTTACTTTGTTAAATTATAAGCTGTTCAGGTACGGCCCGTTTTAATTTGAATTCCGTATTGGGATTTGTTTTTTTTTTTTAACATATTAAAAAGCATCTTCAATTATTTGTTTGATGAATAACATCATAAGGGTTTCTTATGGATTTTAAAAGTTCTAAACATAAATTTTTTTTTCTGCTTATGTGATTTTCATTACTGGATCATGTCACTCTTTTCCACGTTAAGAATAACTGCCTTTTTCCAATTTATGTTTCAAAGTATTTCTATTTATCTACATCTTCATACAGTATTAGGACAGATAAGTTTATTTGCTTATATGTAGGACCTAATAAAATATTTGGCCGGAAACTCATTATAATATTGTATATAAAAGAAATTATGAGTGCTGTCAGGACTGGGCAAAGTGGCTTTACGCAGTTAGTATCAACAATTTCTTATGCTGAAGTGTACGATGTGTTGCATACCTATTTACAAATACATAATTCCTTTAAATTTTAATCATTGATTACTATACATCTATTAAAAAACCGTAATGGCCGACATCAGTGACAATGCGACAACAATTAAAAAAAAAATGATGGCCGACAACAGCAACAATTAGAAAAGAATGATGGCCGACACTACGTCATAGTATAGTTCACAAAAGTGAATTTCGACCAGTCGAAGCAATGGTGCTAACAGTTTTAAGCGCTCACAGTGATTGATAGGGGGGGAAAACTAGTAATAAGTAATAATAAAAAGACACTCGGAGAAGTTTCACTAAATTTTATTACGAACTAGATGTACATTTCGCCTTCTTAGGGCATCTTCAGGAGTATTATTAAGTAGTAAAATTTTGGTTACAACACTTTTCGTAAGTACCAGGGCGCTTAGGTAGTATTAGCTTAGTTGATCATTAGAGTTCGGTAACAAGCCCCTCCTAGATCCTAAGGTAATACTACCTAATACTCTTGAAGAAGCCCTAAGAAGTCGAAATGTACATCGAGTTCGTAATAATATTTAGTGAAACTTCTCCAAGCGTTATTATTACTTATTAAAAAATGAAATCTCATCTTCGTATTTCTTCTCCTAATATTTATCAGTAGTACTATTTAAGCAATTTTAGAGGTAAAAAATGTTTCATTTGGTATATAATCACACCGACGTTTCGCTTTATGTTGTTAAAGCTTCTTTTAGGGTGGATTATAAAGGTCTAATAACCTGAAGAAGAAAAAGTGATTACATTAGGCGACTTAAAAAGGTACCTACCTGTGACAAAATGTTACATTACATTAGTAAATAGTTAATACTCTGAAAATGAAGTACCTTTAACATTTTGGCACTTACCTTAAATGTTTTGGAGATTTGTTCTCTTGAATTTTTTAATGATAACTTAACTTCTTACATGTTCCATTGCTTCTCGTTAGTTTGGATACGATAAGTAAAGAAGCAATGAGGGTTGTAAAGTGTTTTAAATGTGTTTCAAGATTTACGATTTGTACTAAAGGGCGCTATAAGATTATCAAACACATTAATAAACACAGATGCAATTTATTTACAGAATTGGATGATATTTTGTGTTGTTTTTTTACAAATCTATATCAGCTTATGCTTCTTTACAACCTTTAAATACATAAAGTGATTTATACATTAACTTACAAGAACATGTACACATGTAACAATAATTTCGCGTTTTATTAATGTTTTTACTCTCCTGTACTAGCGAAAAGTCAACCGTTTAAATCTTATCCAAAGGTTTCAGAAAATGAAATGAAATTTGAAATTCCTGCTGTATTTTTCCTGAAACTTTAGCACCTATGTATTAAGAAATAGATGCTCGGAAAATATTTGTTGTACAATATTAAACACAAATTATGAGGAATGAACTCCTATTAGGTTGAAAAATGCACCATTTTTAAAACGTTCTTTAGCTCGGGCTACATATTCTTGATCACACCTTTTTGAGATTACTTTTTATCAAGTAAAGAGGGTTTGTTTTTTACTATCAAAAATAATTAACGGTAAGTGTAGGTGGTGTTTCTCTTTTGTAGATGTTAACCTGGAGAACGAAACGCTTTTCAAGAGTTTCTAATAATTTTTTGACTTAAGGTTTTATCATCATCTTGTGACATAGTTTTTTTATGTGCATTATTATTCATTTGTTATAATTAATATCGAACAGAAGATGTATTACCTACGAACAAATACGTGATCATTCAGCCAGCTTTGAGATGCAGTCAAGCTGTTTTGTCAAGTTTTTTTTTTGCAATTTTTGCTTAATATAACAAGTTTGTATAAACGAGTTTATAAAATTATTCTTAATATGAATTTTTAAAACAGGGATTAACTTCAAAATTTGCAAGTAATCGGAAGGTATACAACAGTATTTCAAAAGAAAAATCCGTACAACTTTTCGCTAGTAAGTAATGAATCTTTTCACGCCTTTTCAAACGTCTGGATTAGACGGCGTAAGGTGACGCTTCTAAAGTAAGAAGTTGTAAGCTCGACGACTTTGATATGGACGAACTCATCTTGAGAAGTTTTTGGGCTTCCGACGCTATGTTAGTTCTAGAGGTGGCGATGCATTTTGCTGGTCTCTTGCTGAATGAACGCGAATAGATCTTTATAATGCGACAATTGCACGTAACCAAGACTGAAATGATAATGCCCTGTAGACTTTGAACGAAGTTGTAGAGAAGCCAGAGCCATTCCGAATGGAAGAACTTTGCCAACACGGACACAATGTTCGTAAAGACCAGCACGAGTGCGATCTGGAATGCGAAATGAGAGATGGAGATAAAGAAAGTTGGAGAACAGCTTTCGGAAATGAAATGAAATAAGACCGATGCAAGTCAACGAATTAAAACAATATTTCGATGCTAAAAGTTCTTCGGAAAAGTTCACTAGTCTTGCTGCTTTAGTTATCATCCATCCGTATACCTATAGGAAACATTGAAAAAGTTTTAAATGTAAGAAATCTCGGTTTCAGATAAGATTGAATCGAATTTGTACCTGTTATAATTCAGCTAGATATCAAAACTAATTTGATATAATAAAGAAAAACACTGTAAAATTTTGTATATTCATTATCGATATTGAATNCGATCAAGAATAAGCTCAAGGGTAGTCAGCCAAACATAAGCCATTATATCAATAAAACACATAATAAAAATAAAAGAATGAAGTCAAAACGTTACACCCGCATACATTGTTATTATGCAGAAGGCCAGGTCACAGAATTTGAACATTGTTTTTTTTTTATTTTTATAAATTTAGTATTGTATAATGTAAGGCATGACTGAAAATGAGGTAATTGACTTTGAAGTTGCCCATTTAAAAAACAGAAATTCCTAGTAGTTTCTGATTGCTATGACAATAGCAAATATTTACTTACCACATGAATCTGTTGTTGGGTTTGTTTTCGACTGCAGTTACAAGATTGAGGTTTGTACGGAAATGATTGAACATGTGGTTTGTCATTACCAGTAGCCAGAATTGCACGCACAGTCGGGAATATTGCAGCGAAAATGCCAGCGCTATGCAAAGCTCGTTATCCTGCAAACAAAAGCCTCACATTAGGACACGAATTAATAATAAACCTGATGTAATTTTAACATTCCTAGTTGCCGACGCAACGTGAATACGAAATGAACTATTTAAATTAATAGCGGTCTTTTAGCATTCTTGCAAAATGTTCGTATGGTTCTAATACCACTTTTCTCCATTTCCACTTTTGTATTTTAGTTTTTTCTTTTCCGGTAGCGTGACTGTGTAAAAGCTGCAAGTTATGTGTTTTAAGTCTTTTTTGCTATTTTTTTTAATGTAATAATGATTTTTAGTAATACTTTTTTACTTTTGTAAAATAGGCAAACAGAACACTGGAACAGAACCAACCTAGAGGGCGTCTGGGTACCTACTACACTTTACAAAGGGTGAGTGAATTCTAAAAAGATATTTTTTTATAATTGATGTAGAACTGTGGTAATCCGAATTCCTATAATCCGGGTCAACTAATGATTCTCTAATCGAGATCATATGTTGCGCTGCTTGTGACACGCTTCTTGCTGTAATATCCTACAATTCGGGAAATTCCCTTCATCATGGCGAGATAAGTCAAAAATTATGTGTGTGTTGTTAGATATTTGGGTTGTTTATATTTACCAGCAGTTTTGATGTTTTAATTCGATGAGATTTTCGTCGACAAACTCATAATGCAGATAAATTCCTATTCCAAGGAACATTGCAGGAACTCCCCAGCCGATGATGGAATACCTGACAACAAAGAAAAAACAATTATGAACTCTAGAACAAATATTTTCACTACCATCAGTATTAAATTTTTATGCGAACATTTCAAATAAATAACTCTTATAATAGCAAGCAATGAATTGCGACTTTCGTAAAATACGTGCCGGAAATAGGCATCTACGTACGTATGTAACGTAGTCTAGTAAGCAGTTGATTGAAGACGAGTGACTGCCTGGCCGTTTGTAACGACCCGGGACGGGAGTTCACTACACGAAATCGCATTAAATGAACACCGCTACCGCACTACGAGAGATCGCATTAAATGAACGCACGAGTGATTATTTCTAGTCATATTATTCTGCAAATTAGCGCGTCTGTTAACAGGAAAATGGAATGAGAATGAGAACGAAAGGCGGGTAGAAATGTTATTAGATAAGAGATATGAGTAACGGTAAAGGTAAAAGAATGGCTTCATGCCCGAAGGACTCATTAGTATCTCGTGCACGGTATCTTGTAAAGCGATCTTTATGCAGTATCAAAAACTCTTCATATATGTAGGTATAATTTCAAAACTGTTATATATAAGGTGCTTCTGAAATAGGTGGCGAGCAACTAGATGTAATAGACAATCGCACGGTGAGTAAAGAAGCATGATTAAGGGACAAGAAAGGGGCTTTTAGGCGCCCATTATGATAAAAATTAAATTAATAACAGTTTTGCTCATCGCTGATTGTTTGCAGCATTATTTAAAGTACATCTCAACAAAGAAAAATAAAATTAACGTTAACGTTAAACATCTATAGGTTAATTAATAGCCTACAGACAGGTAGTTGTAATTTTATCAATTTAAGGCAAATNCACCAGCTTTGAGATTGTTATTGACCTATGATAATGGCACGTTGACCTATCTACCACCAATTCTACTGAATACATACATACAAGTTAACAGCATTAAAAGAAGAAACAGCTACTGTAGACCTAATCTAACAAATAACAAACAATGCATGAGTACAAAAATACAAAACAAATCCAACACGGATGCTGCCGATGATCAGCTGGTCGAATTCGTCGTTAAATTGTTGTAGTTACCTGTGTGATCCTATCAGGCTCGGACTGGCCTTTCTCTGTACATTCACAAACGTTTTTCTCGACAACGATGGACTTTCGGATCACCAAACATATTCTTAATTTTAAACATGTTTTGTATTTTGTTAACGACTTGTGCCTCCAAAACTCTTACAGGGGTGTTTTCAAATACAAAAATAGACTCGCAATCAGTAAGGATTATTGTCTCTTCATACCGCCACTAAGGCTGCGATTATAGTAGACACCGCCTTCCTTGCCGTTATCATATCCGCTCCACTATAAGCGCATAAGCCCTTCCATATCAACTATCAACACGTGTGTTTGCTCAGAAGCAGGCTATCGCTATGTAAACTGCGCTACAATCCTTTATTTGTACCGCTACTTTGTTTCAGATAGAGATGACCAAAGCGATCGATGACTATCGGCATATAACATATGATCAAACGTTGACACTGACATTTAGAAATGCTGCCAAAACTTATCAGGATGGTCCCTTTTAAGCTTGCAATACAAGCGACTAATGATTACATTTACCACGTTTGTTCCGATCGCAGATTGCGCATAACTTGCAGATAATATTCCTTATAGACCGTCGTACCCTGTGGCATGAATTCATGATGCACCACGCCCTTACAATTGAAGAAAATTGTAAGGAAAACCTTCACATTCGACCTGACTTAGCGTGCTCTTTTCGGTGGTACGGCAGCTTCCATTGATATGATTGAGCTTTGGTTTCCACGTCATAAGTGATGACCCTCTGGACCAAATTTGGGTCGTCGCGGACAGAGGCCAATAGCTACTTAGCAATCTAATACGATGCTGTTTTTAGTCTAAATTGAGCAATTTTGGTACGAATTTCGAGCGACCCGTTTCATGCCCAAATCATTGGTAAAAATCGAATGGCAGGTGCCAATCGATATGTTTAGGTCCTTAGCAACTCTTCTAACGATGATTCGACGATTGGCCACTTCATCAATGTTTTCGTCCGTTGTTGATGTGATCTCTAATCTTCTCGGCCCTCTGAGAACATTTTGTACCACCGATAAACGTTGCTTCGGTCCAGGGTAGCTTTACCATATGCCACAGTCAACATTCGAAATGCGCTCGTACACTTAATTTTATTTATCACACAAAATTTGATATAGATTCTTTGATCCATTTTTTGGAATAGGCAAAAATCGAAGACGAGCCAATACACGTGCAAGTAAATCAGCCGTCAAAAATTAACTGAACATTCAACATGGCCGAACTTGTCGATATAACTGAGAGACATGAGTACCAACACAACGCCACAAAAAAATCGAATATACGTAACTCGTGGAAATTCAATTCCTCGTACATCTACCCTCGGCAATCACCTCAGACCTATCTTCAATGCATCACTATAATCGCACCTTTGGTAATGTAGTGTAGACGTAGCTTATAAATCTTTTGAAAGCTTTATTACCACAGCCACCACTTAATGTGATTTGGACGGGCTCAGCTGACAAATTGGTAAAGGCTTTCGCGACCAGTAGGTGAACTGATGCTGTTTCAGGAAGCAACTTTAACACACGATGGCCTTTACACTGGAGTCAGTTGGGCTCTAGTGAAATAATTGTTTGCTTCCTAAGGTGTCAGACGTTTTCCACTACAATTCTTTCATCATATATTAGTCGCGAAGACGCATGACACACTGAAACAGCGACGGAATTATTTTTGCGACGGTGTGCACAATTTGTCAGTAGGTTAGTTGCAGATCGGGAGCAAATTTAAGCACTTGCTCAATTGTTAGGTATAACATTGTTTTGAGGACGCTCGAAATACGACTTTCCCTACCTCCAATGCAAAGCTAACGACTGAACGGATCAATCATTTGTTATGCTCATTCTTACTGCGTCAACCGGTGTGTGAGCAAATTACTTGCTTTTGCTTTCATCAGAGACTATTTTTTAATGTTCTATAATTTGTGCCCGAGATAAAAATGTTCAGTCTCTCAGAGTCTCCGAAAGCGAGACTCGAGTCTCCGTCTCTCACCGAGTCTCTCTGGTGTCGTTGAGGGAGACTGTCGAGAGACTGTAAAAAAACTGTTTAGCGTCTCTGAACGAGAGACTCGAGTTGCTCATAGAGATATCCTCATTTCGTATCCAGTCTCTGAACGAGAGATTCGAATCTCTGAACGAGAGACTCCAATCTCTCAATAAGTGGTGTCTCGTTAGACATGGTTAAAATTTTCTAAGTTTAACATATTTCAGAGATCCTAATCTTTCTACGAGAGACTCGAGTGTCTCAATTTTTCAGTTTTATTCATTCAATCTCTCTGTGAGAGATTCGAATCTCTGAATTAACAATTTTACCGATCGAGCCACTCATACAGAGACTGTGGGAGATCCATAAAAACACCTAGGCAATAACTGAGAGACTGTGAGAGACGCTCTCAGAGACGCTGAAAAACTCTGAGAGACTGAAAATTTTTGTCTAGGATGTAGCTTCTTACGTGAAGCCGTTTTCATGATAGATTTTATCAATAATGCCTACTTTTAACACAAGGTAAATATTTTAGGAAATTATTTTCGTCTCTTGTTTGTTGTTTTGTTTAACGGCCTTTTCTGTTAGATTAGTATCGCATTCGTCCCAATAATTTCTCATAAAATTCTGATTTTATTTTTATCGAAACAAAGAGACAATAATAGTAGCTTATAAATTTATTATAGGTACATTACTAAATTACTTCCATTGATCTAGAAATTTATCCACTTTTTTTCTGAACCGCACTGAATACCATACATATACACCTTCTTAAGACCCTCTTAAGTAGAATAAAATAGAATGCAAGTTAAGCATATTCCTTTTTCATTTCTACTCCTGTATGCTATGAACATGAAGTTTTACTCCCTTACCCTTATACGTGATCTGCTTTGGCACATATTTAGCCGTGATGGAAATTTCAAATGAAGGAACGTCTAGTAGAAGTTAAAAGGCGGATCTTTGAATTAGTTTACAACAAGAAGAAAACTCTTGAACTCATCCGGAATGCATAAACTTGAATATTCACAGTTAATTTAGGTCAACTTATTCCATTAAAATAATGGCTTTGAATCATGTCCGGGCTTTATAAAGGGCATCCAGGGCGAGTACTTCGGTTCTGCCCTTTTCAGATCCTACACACTAATCGTAATGAAAAGCATTTAATTGTGTGCACTGGTATATTAAATTCGGTTAAACTGGCTGCAATTGGAGTATGACGTGCTTTATGACTTTCTGTTCAAATGTTCTTATGGACACGAGGTAAAAAATAAAATTATGGATTAGAGTAACGCACAATTTTCAGGCTATCTTGTATAACGAGTAAGATATTGATTTAATTGAATTCTGTTATTATACAGGGTGTATCAGAAATAAGTGCCGAACTCTTTGGAGTATATAAACTAGATGCAATAAACAATTGGAGGGTGCGTTTGGCAATATGGTTAAGGGCAAAAACCATTTTTAAGAAAATCATAATAATTTACAATCAGAAGTCAACCCGGAAAAAATACAGAACACCAGTTGATTGAGTGTAGCGTTGCGGGCCGCATTTCCTTACCAGGGCCGGAGTTGAATTTACCTGTTTTTCTCGAAAACGATGAACTTTCGGACATACAAAACATTTGCTTAATATAAGTGGATCTCATTAATTTAAAAACAAAGGGACTTAATTAAATCATATTTTATATTTTTTAATTGATAATTCAAACCTGAGCTTCTTTTTCTTATTTTGTTTATAAAAGATCCGTAAAGCACAAAGAAGTTGAAAAGTTCGTTTTTAAAATTGTCCAAAATCTCACGTCAACTTTTTAATTCAAAGAAGGAGCATTATTATTGTATACAGATAACAAAAAGTCATACGTTTTGTACTTTGTACTTTTGGTTATCTTTAGGTTCTGTAGGTTTGTCCTAGGAATATTTATATTATTGATTATTAATTTTACTTTGCAACGGTTTTAACTTATTTTTCTGCGTTATTCTTCATTTAAAATGAAATTCCATGATGTTACATCGCGAATGTAAAAGCCTCATTTACCAAAGCAACGATTGTTGTTTGTTCGGAATTTGATACAATTTTTCATTTTAAAAGATGTTTGTTGCGATATTTATTAGATATTTGGGTTGTTTATATTTACCAGCAGTTTTGATGTTTTAATTCGATGAGATTTTCGTCGACAAACTCATAATGCAGATAAATTCCTATTCCAAGGAACATTGCAGGAACTCCCCAGCCGATGATGGAATACCTTACAACAAAGAAAAAACAATTATGAACTCTAGAACAAATATTTTCACTACCATCAGTATTAAATTTTTATGCGAACATTTCAAATAAATAACTCTTATAATAGCAAGCAATGAATTGCGACTTTCGCAGTTATTAATACTGAAAAATTTCATAAAGCAGATACATTTTATTTTTCATTTTCTTTTGTTCTTCAAAAAAACAAATTATATCACATTCCTAAGTGATTTGTACTGTTAAGATTATTTGAAAAAATACAGGGAAGTTAGAAAGAATTTTCAATATGTACGGTAAATATATTTTACCTTATTTGTATAGAGATTAGATAACGGCCTGTTAATAATTTGCTAACAATCAGTATGTGTATACCTCTAGAAAATGTTATCATCATCATAAGTCCTAAGACTGGTTGGATACGCACCTCCAATCTTTCCTATCCTAAGCTAATCTTTGCATTTCCCTTAAAATAGAACAGCCCACATCCTTGACTATTTGCTAACAGTAATCTAATCTAAGTCTACCTCTATTCCATTTCTGTCTCTAGTATGTCTCTGACTAGACCTTCATCCCTGAGAAGGTATCCTACTAACCTATCTCTCTTGTTTCTTAATGACTTCAATAGAATCCTCTGTTCTCCTATTCTTTCTAATACCACCTCATTTCTAACCTTCTCTATCCACGGTATCCTCATCATTCACTTGTAACACCACATTTCGAACGCTTCTAATCTATTCATTTGCAGCGTTCACCGCCCATGTTTCGCACCCGTTCAGCACCGTGCTCCAAACATACACCTTTAACAGCCTTTTTAGAATTTCTAAATTAACCGTTCGCGATCATAGAGGTGCTTTCTTTTTGATGAAGGCGACTCGGCCCTGAGTTATCCTCTGTTTTATATCCCTACTATTCCTACCGTCCTGACTTATCTGACTTCCTAGATATCTAAAATCAGTCATTTCTTCTAATTTTTTGTCACCAATCTTTATATTCGCTCTTTCCCTACTTTTCTTCCCTTGCAGAAAATGTTATAAAAGACAAGAAGGGAAAAAACAAATTTTTTAAGCAATCTAGTATGAAGTACGGTATGTGTATGCCACCAAGAATCGACAAGTTGAAAATCGTGACCCTCATCAGATAGTTTTGACAGTATGCTGACAATGAACTTTATATGAATCAAAATACAGAGGGTGACATAATCCATTAGTTTCAAAGTTTATTTTACATCAAGTGATACTACCTAACTCGATAAAAACAATGCTTTTCATGGAGTGTAATTGACAATTAATTAAATGTAAACGTTAGGAGTCCATAGAAACAAAGAATATATCCGAGGATTAAAGGTGAAAATCAACTGAGTTATAAGGCGAACTCTCATCCAATATCTTTAAAAAGTATGAAGTACAATTGGATTGAAGAAGAAAATCCACCGACCCAAGCGCTTACGATCAAGAATAAGCTCAAGGGTAGTCAGCCAAACATAAGCCATTATATCAATAAAACACATAATAAAAATAAAAGAATGAAGTCAAAACGTTACACCCGCATACATTGTTATTATGCAGAAGGCCAGGTCACAGAATTTGAACATTGTTTTTTTTTTATTTTTATAAATTTAGTATTGTATAATGTAAGGCATGACTGAAAATGAGGTAATTGACTTTGAAGTTGCCCATTTAAAAAACAGAAATTCCTAGTAGTTTCTGATTGCTATGACAATAGCAAATATTTACTTACCACATGAATCTGTTGTTGGGTTTGTTTTCGACTGCAGTTACAAGATTGAGGTTTGTACGGAAATGATTGAACATGTGGTTTGTCATTACCAGTAGCCAGAATTGCACGCACAGTCGGGAATATTGCAGCGAAAATGCCAGCGCTATGCAAAGCTCGTTATCCTGCAAACAAAAGCCTCACATTAGGACACGAATTAATAATAAACCTGATGTAATTTTAACATTCCTAGTTGCCGACGCAACGTGAATACGAAATGAACTATTTAAATTAATAGCGGTCTTTTAGCATTCTTGCAAAATGTTCGTATGGTTCTAATACCACTTTTCTCCATTTCCACTTTTGTATTTTAGTTTTTTCTTTTCCGGTAGCGTGACTGTGTAAAAGCTGCAAGTTATGTGTTTTAAGTCTTTTTTGCTAGTGTTTTTAATTTAAAAATGATTTTTAATAATACTTTTTTACTTTTGTAAAATAGGCAGACAGAACACTGAAACAGAACCTACCTAAAGAACGTCTGAGTACCTACTACACTTTATAAAGGGTGAGTGAATTCTAAAAAGATATTTTTTTATAATTGATGTAGAACTGTGGTAATCCGAATTCCTATAATCCGGGTCAACTAATGATTCTCTAATCGAGATCATATGTTGCGCTGCTTGTGACACGCTTCTTGCTGTAATATCCTACAATTCGGGAAATTCCCTTCATCATGGCGAGATAAGTCAAAAATTATGTGTGTGTTGGAAAAGCGTTGACTGGTTAGTATGGGGCCGATACGTTAACTGCTGTATGTTTCTATAGCATTTACTCTGAATATTTTTTGTCCCATTTATAGAGGCCCCAATAAAGGATTTATCAGTAACTAGTGACCCGCCCCAGCTTCGCACGGGTGCAATGCTGATACTAAATATATTTTTGTTTTGTTTAGATTATTATCGAAAAGGGGAAATCTTCAAAAGATACCCCCTGAACATACTAAATATACTACAGAATGTCTTTATATACAACATTCACAGTTTTTTTGTCATTAGACAATACAAACCGGCCTCCCGGCCGGTACCGCCGCAACCGCTATGTCCCTGCATTTTAAATCTGTAATATCTTCGAAAATATTCATTTAAATTACATGCTGTAAAGGGCCATATTGATCTATATTAAATGCACAATGTATTTAAGGTACTTAATTGGATAAGAATTAATGCTGTATTGCCTACAATCGCTTCGTAAATAAGTCATTATTTCTCATAAAAAGTAAAGGATAAAAATGGTTATTGTGGGTTATCCCTAAGAGATAGACATATACCATCCCGGACTTTTTTGTAGACCCTTTTAAGATGTACAATATTGTAGTACATTATTTTGATCTATCTCGTAGGGTTCAGCCAGCGTTTGCAATGTAAGCGCAAAAAATGTGTTTATTTACGACATCACATTAGAAACCTCTAAAATTATCAGTGTTTCCCTACTATATTATGCATGTATTATACATATAAACCTTCCTCTTGAATCATTCTATCTTTTAATAAAAACCGCATCAAAATCCGTTGCGTAGTTTTAAAGATTTAAGCATACATAGGGACAGACAGCGGGAAAGCGACTTTGTTTTATACCTACTATGTAGTGATTTAGATCGCTTACGCTTTATTTGAATCGGATGAGACTGGGTAAATAATATTCAGGAAGGGATTGTGTACATCTGAATTTTTAATTTTATTAATTTTTTATAAATCAATTTTCTCTCATAAAAAGTATAATCATTGATTTTGTTTATTTCTAGGATTACGTACTATCTGATTCCCGTCATATCTCCCGCCGAAACTGTACATAATCGTGGCGCTCCTGCTAATGATGCGCGGTTGCCTTTATTTTGCTGTGGAAGCGTTATCCTTTTCCATTGCATACGCAACGTGTCGCATATTGTGTCAATACTACACATTTTATATCATTCATCATAAAAATTCACAATTGCATGGACTATTAAAAATTTTCCTTTATCAGCGCCATGTTTTTTAGGCCCCTCCCATTTGACTCAATAGATATAACCTATAACTGGTTTTTATTTAAAGACGATTTTATTGGATCTTTTCAAATAACCTCAAATAGAAACCATGTTTCTGTGTATAAATGAAGGTGAGCTCTGCAGAAAAATAAATTATTCAAAAGGCGTCATTCATATGTGCAATTTTCTGAAACGCTTAACTATCGAATCTTATTCAAGAAGAGTTGAGTATTCTGAAATAGCTCTCGGATTATGCGTTCATAAAAGATGAGTACTTTTCCACTCTTTCATTTCAAATGATGATTATCTCTTTACACGAAGATGAAGGATAGGTATATGCTAAGAGAAATATTATTACGTCAGGCACGTCGCATTTTTATATAAAAATCTCGCGGGATTTTTCAGATCTGCGGACTTTTAAGTTATTCTGGAGAGCGACTATTCGGAAAGCGGAAAACCTGGTTAGACTGTAACAGAAGTGTACTTTTTAAATGGAAACTTACTTCGAAGCCGGCATTGGCGTTCAAATAAGTTTAACATGACGAATGTAATGGGCTTGAAAATTTTTTAGCGATTGCTACTGATAAACCGAGCTAATGAATTGGTACAGTAATCTAATCTAACTAACTAACTAAGTAGCCCTCCATTTTTAGTGGATGTCCTACGATCCTATGTCTCGCACCGTTATTGACTTCCACAGCGTTCTCTGTTTTACTTTTTCCAATGTTTCTGTTTATATTACTAATGGGTCTAATAGCACTGGTCTGCAAAAATTTTTTTTTCTCTCCTGATTGTTTTCATGCATGATAACATGGAATTTAACATGCAAATAAATATAGCACATAGTTTTTAAATACATTGCCTATTTAATTAAAAAACGATATTATCAAAGAAACAACAATTAAAAGAAAGTAAAAAAGACTACGGTCTAAGTTTTACAGCGAAAAATGATAATTTTATAGTCATAAGTGATAGAAATATCAGTATATTTATCTCATTATGGCAGTATAATTCAAGTTATTTTGTAGTTTTTTTTTTCTTTTCATCGTTTCCATCGAAGTTTCTCAGCGATTCGACCAACAAAAATCAGCAAGCATTGCTTCTGACCAATTTCCATTGTAGCGTCTTTCAATATCCATAATATCCTGATGAAACCGTTAATCATGCTCATCTGATATGTTACCGAGATTTTCCGGAAAGAAATCTAAATGAGAGTCCAAAAAAATGAATTTTGAGTGACATATTGCATCCTAAAGCTTTATAAGCAGAAAGACGCTCTCGAATGATTTGTCGGTAATTGTTAGTTTTTGTATTACCAAGAAAATTATGACACACGAAAGCCACTCAAGCTTTTTTTTCAGCTTTATTCAACTTCGAACTTTTATTTTGAGATATTTAAAGCCTGCACCATCCTTGTTCATAGCTTTCACAGTTTTTCACGAGTCCCAACTTTATATGAAGTGGTGGCAGAAAAATTTTGTCACTTGACACTAGTCTGTAGAATTCTTACAAGTACGCGGCATTTTATGAACTAAAATTAAATGGAATTTATTTAAAAAAAAAAA